ATATATATATATATATATATATATATATATATATATATATATATATATATATATATATATATATATATATATATATATATATATATATATATATATATATATATATATATATATATATATATATATATATATATATATATATATATATATATATATATATATATATATATATATATATATATATATATATATATATATATATATATATATATATATATATATATATATATATATATATATATATATATATATATATATATATATATATATATATATATATATATATATATATATATATATATATATATATATATATATATATATATATATATATATATATATATATATATATATATATATATATATATATATATATATATATATATATATATATATATATATATATATATATATATATATATATATATATATATATATATATATATATATATATATATATATATATATATATATATATATATATATATATATATATATATATATATATATATATATATATATATATATATATATATATAGTTGTAATGTTTAGTTAAATGTGTATTTGTAATAATTTAAATGACACAAAATAAAAAATAACATGGCAAACACTGAATTAATTTACTTAGGTAAACTAATCAAAAGAATATGTTTCAGTGGCATAAACAAATGCAAGTTTTGTAAATATATATGAGCTAAAAATGTCTAAATCAAAAGGGAAAAATATTAATTTGGAATTAAAATAATAATTTCGATAGTTGTAGTATTGTGGGTACGGCCAAATAGTATAAATGTTTTATTTATTTATTTTTTGTCATTTACATAGCATTTTAATATTAAACATGATAAAAAAAAATTTAAAAAAAAAAAAAAAAAAAAAAAATATATATATATATATATATATATATATATATATATATATATATATATATATAAAGAAGAAGATTAATAGCTTGTAAGTGTGATATTTGTAGCGGGTTTTCACGTTTCACCTTGTTTATAGGTTATACTGAATGTAAATGTAGGGATCTTCTCAAACTTGCAGCATAAGCAAAATGTGACTGATTCTTAAAGTGGTCACGAGTGGGCGCTATATTAAAAGCCACACCTCTTTCTGACTCTCGACCAATCAGCCTTTACGTATCCTACTATGGCACATGCTTATAAATATTAAAGAGATTGTCCCGACGCTGCGCGGTGACCTTTCCGCTTGAATCCAATAGCGAAAGCTGAGCTAATCAATATTAATGAGCTGAGCATCCATTTCAGTCCATTCAGGATTATGCATTAATATTCATGAGCTAATACTCCACTCTCACGTCGCCGCTGCGGTCACGTGGTCGGGATTCCCTATTGTCACCGATCCGGAAGTTCCCGAGTCGCCGGTTTCCGCCGGAAAAGGTTCCGTCCGGTCCAGACGGGTCTGTCCCTCTTTTCTATCTTTATTTTCGGTTTGGAATCGTTCAACTGATCCGGTACAGATCCGGACCGGTGCCGAAGATACACCGTAATCTGCTGTCCGGTAAGAAATACGCGACACCTTACCGGCTTCTGACGCTCGTGTCGTGTGTGTGTGTGTGTGTGTGTGTGTGTGTGTGTGTGTGTGTGTGTGTGTGTGTGTGTGTGTGTGTGTGTGTGTGTGTGTGTGTGTGTGTGTGTGTGTGTGTGTGTGTCTGTGTCTGTGTCTGTGTCTGTCAATGTACTGTTTGTGTTTACTGAAAACTCACCAATTACAGGCATATTCTATTACTTGTATGACTTATATTTAAATATACTGATAATTTAAGCCATATTACTGTTGTTTACGTGTTATACTTTAATTGATATTCAATTTTTATTAGTTTTGGTATGTTATTTTTGCCTATTTTGTGCATATTTCCATGAGAGTAGCTGTATTTTAAGTTAATGTTTATGTTATTGAGGAGCTCAGATCTGTTTTAATATGTTTCTGTTGTATTTAATGTTAGTTTTTTGCAAGTTTGGTGATTTTTATTGCGTTTTAGTCAAGTTTACTTACTTTTTAATCATTTAAATAATAAATATTGTTTTTTAATAATAATAATATTTATTGTTTCACTTTTAGCTGTAGTTATCCTGCTAAATTAAGCTGAAGTAAAGGAAATTTGATTTTATCCCAATTTATTTTGTTATGTACATTATATTATAAATATCTGGCATTTACATTGTGTTTTGGTTTATTGTGTTATAAGTTAATGCATGTTTTATTTAAAAGAACAAAAATGTACTTGCTTTATGTTCAGATGATTTTATAACCCTGTTTGATTACATGAAAAACAGTCTAAAACAAGCACAACCTGAAGTTAAAGATTTACTGTAATGTAATTATATATATATATATATATATATATATATATATATATATATATATATATATATATATATATATATATATATATA